TAATTAGTGAATATTAGAACAAACAGTAATACCTGTTCGGTGTGACCCTTCCTCATTTCCAGTACTCCCAGGTTATTGTAGGCCTCTGCGTGGTCGTTATTTGATGCAAGCGCTAATCTGAAACACTGATACGCAAGCTGAATGTCTCCAATACCCTGAAACAACACAACACAGTTCAATACACTTTTTAAGTAAAACGCCATTCGCTAAAGTCTAGACACAAGCAGGTAATCAAAGAGCCAGCAACTGCACATGCAACTGACTCGTCCCCAGCCATCTCTCAGTCTCCTATTAATAATATACGAGCGTCTTGGGGACTGGGGGATGCTGTTGCGCTCCACTCGGCCGCGCTTCTCTCGTTAAATCTTAATAGGAGACAAGAGAGATGACTGGGGACGAGTCAGCACATGCAATGGGCCTTATTCTGCTGCTCCCCCTGGATGGGATGCTAGTCCATCGCATGTTACCCCCCCCCCCCCCCCCAGCATTTTGTCACCGGTACCCATTTATACTCCTGGGTGGAGAGAGTCAAGGTGAGATTTAAGGAGAGACTTAAACCTGAATTTCAATGAAATTTTAAGAGGTTTAAAGAAGGGATAGAAGAAAGAAAATGATTTTTGGAACACCAACAGACAGTTGATACCCACGCGGGTGCTCTTGCGTGGGTATCAACTGTCTCTTGGTGTCCATCTACTAATTTTTAACTTCAAATTCTAATATTTAAAACTACATTAAATCTTCAATATTTCTTATTTCCCTAAATTTTACATCTCCTTTGAGAAAAACTATTTCCTCCAAACATACCCAAAAATCACCCAAAAATTTACAAAACACCCCATAACATAGATTCATGAGATGAGCATTTGCTTGAAATGTGAACGAGATATTTCCATTAAACCCATGTTAAAGGGACACTGTCCTGATTTTAGCATGATTTGGGGAAGCTCAGAAACATATCTAGATCATAGGAAGTTGATCAATAATGGTTTGATTCTGTAGAATAGCACTCGACAAATGACAGGAACCCATTAGGAAGTGAGGATGACAAACGACAGCGAGGATGGAAATGGATTGCAATATGGATTTTTGAAAAAACGTTAGGATGTCAGTTTTTTCAAAGTTTCAAATTTGGCTCGGAAATCTTTGAAATTTTGCAAAAATTTTGTTGCAGTATGGAATTTCTTGAAGAAATTGCTTTTATCATTTGGTTAGAGTTTATTAAGTCTCATTTCATAGATTTAGGGACCATTTCATGCATTTAAAACAGTTTTTGAAGCAAGTACACCGGGGACAGTGTCCCTTTAAGTGGTTGGAAAAATGGCATTCAGGTTAAGTCCCGCCTTAAGTATCTTGTCCAATAACACATCACAATGACCCAGACTGCCCCGGCCAGCATTCGAAACCGGCCCTCGCTTGATCTGGAGTCCCAACGCGCTAACCATTAGGCCACTGCGTCTCCCGCTATATAAGTACCACCATTCATATAGTCACATGATTTGACCAGTCAGCATGTACATGCATGCTATCCTTCCAGCCAATAACATGAAAGCAAATATTGTTCAGGCTTATGCAAACCCATGGCCTATATTTGCATTTTAAATTGACTGAAACTAGTTATAGAAACTCCATACCACAGCTACGTGTCCAATGTTGTACCAGACGTCCCCCATGTTTTCATCTGAAGCTAAAGCCAACGCTCTTTCAAAACAGTTCAGTGTCATGTCGTACTGTTGAGCGTAGAAGCAGCACAGACCTAAATTGGTAAACAGCTCCGCATTGTACACACCCATCTGGAGAAGCCGACTGAAAACGAACCACAAATTCATGAGATACTATAAATGAAGTAGCAATAATTATTGAATTAGAGCTGTTGTTATGTGACTATTGCGAGCGTTTGCTAAGCTTAGTTCCAAAATCTGGTAAAATTTGCTTTACCCAATCATATCAAACATTGCTTGTTTTTTAACCAAATCAGAAGCAGACCAAAACTAATGATGATGTTGGGGTTTAGCTGTGTTTTCCGCGCTTGGCACTGGTTGCCAGTTTTCCCGCGCCTGGCACTGGTTGCAAATTTCCCGCTCTTGGCACCGGTTACATTTTCCCGCGCTTAATGGTCAGATGTGACTACCTTGGTCGTGGTTTTACGACAGTCGTTTAAAACGTCACTCTAACACAGTCATGATTACTTGGCTCCATGTTTCCTGCTAGCCTACTCGTGTAACATCCACATGAAAAAAATGTCAATGGTACTAGACTGCAAGCAAGCTGTACAGTAGGGTCCTGTAGCTCTACAATGGTACATTTCTCAGTGTAAAAGCTCTAACTGTTGGTAAGAGTAAAACGAAAATTTGGAGGCTTACCGATAAAATCTGAGCGCAATTTCTGGCTGATCTGTGTAGAAATGATGTGTAGCGATACAAGCGATGGCCTCCACATGAGTGTTATCATAATGAAGTACATCTTTATACAGCTTAACAGCATTGGTCATGTCATTTAACTCCTAAACGAAATCAAGAAGAAGAAAAAAAGAAATTTATGATGCCTGGTGGATACATATCTTTATAAAAAGAAAAAGTAAAGTCTTCACGAGCCTAGTGGGCACACTGCCAGAGCTTATCCCGGTTTCTGTTGCATGAAGCCAACTATAGGAGTATTGCTACTACCCCTGGATGGGATGCTAGTCCATCGCAGGTTACCCTCCCTCCCCCCCAGAATTTTGTCGCCGGTACCCATTTATACTCCTGGGTGGAGAGAGGTACTGTGAGAGTAAAGTGTCTTGCCCAAGAACACAACATAGTGACCCCAGCCAGCGCTTGAACCGAGACCGAAAGTCCAACACCCTAACCATTAGGCCACCGCATCTCCCCATGCTCTGGTACTCTCTTTATAGTAATATACTCAGCAAAATGTTTAGATTCTGATTGGTCAATGAGGAATGCATATTGAAATTATAGAGTACAAAACTGAATATAGACTGCAATACGAAAGTTGCTATGGAAACGGCGAGGGGCGCCAATTTTGAAATAGCAAAATAAAAATGGCTGTCAGCCGGTTTACTTTTTGGAACCAAAATGTTGTTTAACAGCTCAAAGAGAAAGCGAAAACGAAAATACCAGGACAGCTACACAAACGTTTGGCAGAAAAAGGCAAATGAAGAAAAAGTGAACCCAAAAATTGTAGAATACAAACACGAAACACATTCGCACTGAGCAAAATTGTGTTGAGTATACAATTTATTGAATCTCTCTACAATAGCCACCCTGGGCAGAATTTAACTGTCAGTTGTAGGAAAGTGGCGGCTTTATAGAGGGGTTCCAAAAAGAGTAATGTGTATAGATTGACATTTGGTTGTGATAAAACAAATCCTGTCTGTTGTAGAGAGGTGGCTGTTGGTGGAGTTTTAGACTGAATTATAAACAAATCATCGCATGAACTGCTCGTTCGATTCGTGATTTGGGAAGGAGAAGGGAGGGGGGTGGGGGAGGCTTCGTAGTGGGGGCTTCAGTGTTAAAAGGATGAAGTTCAAGTTCTAGATGGGGGGCTTAAAAGCTTGATAAAGCTTTGCGATAATAGGGTTCCAAAAATAGCAATTTGTGGTCTGGTAATGGGTAAGTGTTTCTAGGGCCCAGCAGTAGACCCAGGTTTCAGGGAAACCCACCACCGGTGTTAATCCTTCCACCGCCGAGATTTCAGTGTAAACATCTACTGAGTAACTTTTGTTGACAAGAAGACTGTTGACTAGCATAAAGAAAATCATTGTTGACTAGGGGACATTAGTACTACTGAGTTATTTCCATTTTCTCAACTTTAACGGGTCATTGTTTTACCTCATGGATGCGAGCAATTCCTGTCAGAAGAGTTGTCTCTCCAGGAAATTTCTCCAAGGCCTGCAAAAATGAAAAGAAAGTTAATTTAAAATCATTTACTGATCAAGTGCTTTTGAAGTTTGCACAGTGACTGAACTCTTCTGTAAATCCTTTGTGATACACCAACAAAAGAAAATATTTAATCAATTATGGAAAGTCAAGAAATGATGGTATACCATAAAAGTTATATTAGGGCTTATTTAATTTCAGCCCCAAGAGGCTGAAAGGGAAAAAGGCTTATTAGGGAAAATTCACATTATTTTTTCAAACTTTACTACTACACCACTAACTAAAACAGAACAAGAAATGGGTTATGTATTACTGTCTTACAAATGCAATGTCATTTATACCCTAGAGAGAGAGAGAGAGTGGGGGGGGGGGGGGGGGGGACTAAATAGAGCTTTTACCGTATTTTAAGCTTGGTAGAAGTAAGAGAAAGATATTATTCAGTCAGTGACGCAAGCTACTCAGAAAAAAAATTCTGAGTTCTCCCAACAGGAGTTGAACCTATGACCTTCCACACACCAGTCGGACGCTCTACCACTGTGCTACAGGTGTCTTGTGGCAGCAAATTAATTAATTAGTTTGAATTTTCGGTTCATTCTGTGAAGAGGCAACCTAGAAAAGTTACATGAGATGGATATGCCTCCAGTCCAATAGGCCCGCAATGCGTCCAAAGCTGCTAGACAATCTAGCATCAATACATGTAGGCCCGCAATGTGCGTGGAGATGATGGATAAATTATTGATACATGTATTTCAACCTTACGATTAAAGTTAAAAAACCTACAGAACTAACAACATATTCCAAACAACTCATTGACTAAGCCAGGATCAGAGGCAAACCTTTTTGTATACTTCAGTTGCAGTTAGCGGCTGATCCAGTCTTCTATACACTTTACAGAGATACAGATAAGTATCCACTATGTCTTGATCACGCAGCGCAGATTTAAGCTGTCTCTCGGATCACGATACATACCAAGTCTGGTGAAAGAAAAAAATACACTAACTGTAAACATGTGCTGATAGTTAATCATCAAAATTGAGTTTATTATGGTAAATTAACTCACTCAACGTGTTGTTTATACTGTCTTATTGTCTGGGAGCTCCATCTCACTTTATATGGAGGGCAAGAGAGACAGTGGCCTAATGGTTAGAGTGTTGGACTCCAGATCGAGCGGTTTGAGTTTGAGACATTTAACTCTCACAGTGCCTCTCTCCACCCACAAGTATAAAAGGGTACCAGCGACAATGTTGGGGGTTATGGTAAGCTGCGATGAACTTCTAGTGACTAACTAGGAGTATCACTACTCCCCTGGATGCTAGTCCATTGCAGGTAACCCCACAGCAGTTTTGTCAGCAAATTCACTGGTACCCATTTATACTCCTGGGTGGAGAGAGGCATGGTGAGTGTCCTTACCCAAGAACACAACACAATGACGTTGACCCCTTCACTCTAACCCGAGCCACTCGATATGGAGTCCAATAATGTGCTAACCATTAGGACACCTAAGATCTCCCGTTAATTGTTTGCACTAATGAAAATGACTATAGGCAAGGAAGTTTCAGGGGGAAGCACACAGGCTCATTTTGCTCTAACATGGCTTGCAATTGAGCAAGGTTTTGTTTTGCAATTACCAAGTTACCTGTAATAGCTTTTTGCCAGTTGGACTTTCCACCACCAGTCTTTAAAACTGACATTCTTCAGTCGCTTTTGCTGCCAGCTCTAATGCCTACAATAAACGAGAATGATACCTTACTTCAGTTCCCAAGTGAAGCTGTCTTTAATAAGTTTGGCCAGAAAAACTACAATAATAAAGGGCCCTGCCTACCTCAAAAATAAGCCCTACTGAAAATAAGCCCACCCAATCTCAAAAGCAAAATAATCCGATAATAACAAGATACTTAATTAACTAATTACATGTAGTATACTTTATTGTAATTTTTTTTTTTTTGGGGGGGGGGCTTGAAGACATTAGCTCTGTAGTAGCTACTCTCAAATCGAGTGAAAATAAAGTTTATGCAACTATGTATGTATGCTACAACATACTGTATGTAATGTATACATGTACAAACAAAGACTTCTTCTGATTATAAGGCCCCCATTGTAGACCAATTTGTACTTTTATGTTGATTACAGTATGTTATTAGAGACTTGTGATATTCATTTAATTGATGACTGTATTACATGTACTTGTTTTGTGTTTCATTTCATAAAATGTTTGGAGAGTTTTACTATTGCGGTATTCTTGCATGCACCTAAGATGAGACTCTGTATGGGTATTTCCGACAAAATCGAAGTCGCGACAATTGCCATAATGATTATATAAAACGATGATCTCAGAGATTGAAGCGACGATTTACAAAATTATCGTGGTCAGATAGAAATGCATCAAATGCATGAAACATGTTACCGGAAAATTACCGATACGAAAACGACGATTTTGTTTAAAAAAATTGACGATTTGTTAAAAGTCTGCAGTTACCCATAGAGAGGCTCTAGGATAACTACAGCCTGTAAGCCCCCAAAAAGGCTTTGGACAAAATAATAGCCCTGTATTCCATGTCACCCATCTGGCAAGGGCCTGCATGACTTCTCAATATCAGCTGACTGATAAGAGTCTTCCACTGTTTTAATACTATAATGTACAATTTATTAATTAATAAATGTCTTTTTATTTTACCTGTCCAGTAATTACAATAATGTTAATAATTTTGAATTTTTGTTTATCAGTAACCACTGTGACTACCGTGTCAGTATCTTTACTTACATTTCGCACATCATTTTCGTGTGGAAAATGTATTCAAACAAACACCTGGTGGGGAAAATGTAATATATAGCAATTTAAGCAGAATTAAATTTTGTATTATTTTTATTCCATTATATAGCACCCAGGGTGTTACTGCAGCAGTAATTTAATTTTTGGAATCCAAAAGAGTGGAGACGGAGCGGTTTAAAATTATTTTGGGACAGGATACATAATAATAACAACTTTATTAATGTGTCGAAGTCTTCTAGCGTGCCAAAAGGCCCACTAATCGGGGACACCTAAACTTAAATATCACAAAATACTATAAAAAATTACATTACATTACAATACAAAATACTATAAAAATTACATTACTTTACAAGTCATATATATAATAACTATATCTATAAAATCTATAAAAACTATCTTAGTCTATTTACATTAAATTAATATCAATTACTGACAACACTTCGGGCATTGCCCTTACAGGCGTCATCTTCGGTCATGTAAGATCTCTCTTGCGTATTTTTGAAAACAAAGGCCGTTAGTGTTGCGCTGTCTATGTCACGGGGGCTGAGCTTGACCATAAACGCGGTCCAAAGTATTTAAGGAATGTTTTCCATATCTGACGGTGTTAAATCTAAAAATATGGAAGTCCGAGTTTCTTAAATTATAGCAAGATGGCGTGCCGCTAAATAATTCTAGTATGTTCATTGGTAGCAGCCTGTGCTTGACTTGTACATAAAGATAGCGATATCTTGCAGTCGCTTATTAAACAGAGTTGTGAGGTTAGCACGTTTTAGTAATAATCATAAGTCAAATTCCAGTCACAAAAACCGCTCGAAGCCTCTTTCGTTGATGACACGTTCCAGTTTCTTTTTGTCCGTTCTTTACAAAAATGCCAGACTAGGCTACAATATGTCAGGTGTGGTAGTATCGCTGTCTTGTAGATCTGTAGCTTAGCTTCAGTTGGGATAAGTTTCCTGAGTCTCATTAAACGCCAATTAGTCTACTTGCTTTCTTGCAAATAGCTGATACATTAAAATTTTTAACAGTGTAAGCATCTTTCCCAACGTTTAGGTGGAAACTTTTCCCACGTGAACAAAGGCGGCTGAAAGGCCAACAAAACCACAAAATAAAATGAGAGAAAAAGGAGGGAAAGAACGCAAAAAAAGGAACGAAGTGTGGTGGAGTTTCTCACGCTCCAAAAACTATGTCCAAATTTTGATTTCTGCGCATGCCCAAGGAAAATATTGAATTTGTTGCTTCTATTAAAGTAGAAGGGGATGTTAGTTTCTATGTTGCAGACTAAGTTTTAAACAGTTTGGGCAGTAAAATATCGCGATAACGGCAAAAATAGGCATCTGTGATGTTGGATTGTCGTTTTTTGGAAAAGCCCAGGTGTCAATGGTTATTAAAGCTGCTAACAACATAATGGACATAATTAATAATTATGATTAATTTTGAAATTGACCCCATGAAGCTTTAAAGTAATCTGAGTGGAAAGCCCAATTTCCCATTCCGAAGTTCAAATGGGACTGGGGACGAGTTTTGTAAATTTCAATTTAATCAACATTGAACCATCAAAAGAAAGATCACATTAAATTAGTCAGTTTACCAGGTTGGGGTTGTTTCGTTAGAATGTAACCATGTAGAAGCTTTCAAAAATCAGAAAAATTAGAGAATACAAGTATGGATTTGGGGGACGCCATCTCTGAATTTGTATGGGAAATTTTGGGCGACCTTTGACTTCACAGCCTGGAATGACATTGTTATCGGTTCTGGAATTTTTAGGGGGCACTTACTTGAACTGAAAGGGTGACACATGGTGCTATGGCCTAGTAATTTTGTACATCGCTAGTCCACAATTTTTATTTAATATTAATAATTAATAGTGGTTACATGTAGAAGTTTTTTAACTAGTTACTATTTACATTGTACTATTAGTATTGAAAACGTGCTCACTGTACCTTTGCAAGATTTTGTCTTTGTGCATATTTAGACAAGTTTAGTTTCGCAATATTTATAACTGGTCCATCTGGCTGTGACAACATGGACGCCTAGCAGAAAATATATTAAAATGCTCAGGACTGGAGTGATATGAACTGGATTGTAAATGTGATTCTTCAAACTCAAATAAATTTAATACCAACAAACTCATACTTACAGTGCCCAGACGAACATGTCGGCCAATGCACTCGTCACTGGTCTGAGAATAAAGCCATAAAATTACATCAGTGGCCAATACATTCCGGTGGGGTTTGGGGTTGGGAATTCTATAGAAGTGACAGGGTGATCGGGAGTTAAAATTTGTGGTTTGGTACCGCTTAGGTTGTTAAATCTACATTACATGGATTGTAGAGTTATCCTGGTACCTTTACAGTATTGTGCCAGGAAAAAAGTCGGATAGATTAGGTGCTACAGTTTTGTAAAAGAATTGCTACCTCTTAGGGATGAAAATGAATTTGAGCCACAGCCACAAAGTGAGATTTGGTCCTTTTAGGTGTAATTCCTTTAAAATTTCCAACAATCTTTACAACTTGTGTACTGAACAGTCATACCATACTGTACTTGCTGTTTGTGCAGTACGAGGTGTTTTGATGGCTTGCTCCTAGTACCAGGTCTTCCACTTTGTGTTTCCTGGCCTAACAAATCCACTTACTGGAACGACCCGCCTGAGACATGGGTCTAGAAGAGAAAAATACACTGGTTAGTGGCAATCTTTTCAAAAGTAAATGGATTCTAATGACCCGGTCTTGGATTCTAATGACCCCAGTGCTTGAACCATGGACTGCTTCGTCAATCCAGAGACCCTAAATGACTGTTGACGGTCATCTGAGCTGCATTCCAAGATTGCCAAAGCTCACCCAAAGACTTATGAAGATTGCCAAAATACTTCCAATGCTTGCCGAAGATAATTCAAGATTACTTCAAGATTGTCATCGCTTTATACCAAAATCACCCGAAGATTATCAAAGATCATGTTGTGTTTCAAGCAAAAAATTTAAATATGATGATGCAGAACATACCGCTAAGATTCTTCCTTTTTCAAGTCACTTGTTTTATTAGGAGGGGGACATGGGAATCTCCAAACCGTAAACCGCCAAGATTTCGTCTCAAAAATACCGAAAACTGAACTGAAACTCAAGAAAAATTTGCTCAATTACTAACTTTGGAGGAAACTTCCATCACCGAAATACGGTACACAAATTAGGATGTTTACCAAACACGTACCACTGATCAAAATGCTAGAAAAACCGGGTACCGTCGTACGTACTGATGAAACCGAAATGCCGCAGTTTTCGATCGAAAATACCATAGAACCACAAACCTCAATGTCCCCCGCCATTAGAAATCCAATAGACCCAGTCCCCCTTTGTAATGTATTAATAATTAATTTATAAAATTAGTTTTTTAGTGCCATGGGTTTTTCCTTCAATCAAGTTTCTGTGTTTCCATTCATTCTA